TAGCATATTGCGGATTTAATTGAAAGTCTTGATAATAAACGTTTTGAAACTATACAATTTACATTTAAACAAGTTTCATTATATTTTACTGAAGTATTTAAACGACTTGTACCTGAAGGTACAGCACATTTAGTTATAAAAAAAGGCGATAATGAGGTTTGTTTATAAATTTGATAAATATTCTTTGAAAAAAACAATGATTATTTTATTAATAGGATTATGATAGTGAACAAGTTTCATCACAAAGCCAAGGACAACAAATGTCTGTTGATGATTTTACTGGTGTAGGTATTAAAGTATCATTTAATGGTCGAGCAAATGAAATGCGTGATATGCAACAATTATCTGGTGGTCAAAAATCACTTGTTGCATTAGCATTAATTTTTGCAATACAAAAATGTGATCCAGCACCATTTTATTTATTTGATGAAATCGATCAAGCACTTGATCCACAATATCGACATGCTGTTGCTGGTAAAATAATTTTTTTTGTTATTATTCTTGATTGAAATTTTCTTTTTACAGATATGATTAATGAATTAAGTCAAAAAGCACAATTTATTATAACAACATTCGGTCCAGATTTACTTAAATATGGTGATAAATTTTATGGTATTACATATCGAAATAAAGTTAGTCAAATTCGATCGGTTACAAGAGATGAAGCATTAGAATTCGTTGAAGATAATGAAGCAAATCAAGCTGCACAAGCCGCAACAACTACAGCTTAAAATGAATTAAATATGGATTAGTTTTCTTTTCTCTTCGTTTTTGTTTTTTGTATAGCAATAATAAATGTTTTGTGTGTTATATTAAATGTCCTACTTAACGTTGTTTGTACATGTTGTAAATTATTTTTTCGAGGACAAAAATATTCATGTCGTATTTGTTCGCGTTTATTGAAAATAGAAATTTACTAATCCGATTTCATCTCTTCAGATATAATGATTTGAATATGGAATATAACATAATGAAACTTATTTTCAATCATTTATACAAGATACGAATAGGATATCTTTTGAATGAAATGAATCGATTTATGATTTATAGTTCTAGATAAAGTACGATGGCACCTGATCTTAATAAAAAACTTGAAGATGAAGTTGAAAAATATCGTCAAACACAGAATGGTAGAAAATATTTTAACCTTTTAATTATCTGACTTTTCTTTTATAAAAATAGACATGAAAAAATTTGTTACTCAACAACAACAATTATTTATAACTAAAACTGAGAATGAATTCGTTAAACAAGTAATTAATCTTTGCTAAAAATCGATTTATTTATTCATTTTTCTATATAGGAATTTGAAAATCTTGATTCCGAAGCTAATATTTATAAACTTGTTGGTCCTGTACTTGTTAAACAAGAATTAGGTGAAGGTAAAGAAACCGTCGAAAAACGACTTGTCTATTGTGAGGGTGAATTGTAAGTTAAAATGTAATCTTTCTAATAACTTAATAATATAATCGATTTTATTATAGAAAACGATTAGCATCATTAATGAAAGATACAGAAAAGAAATTAGAAATTCATCGTGAAGTTATATCAAAAATTCAACAACAAATCGCAACAAACAAATAAAATAATTCATATCTTTAACTTCGTTTTTTTTGCACGATTTCATAAATAAAACGTTTTAGTGCACCAAGATCATATTCTTTGTTTTTCTTCTATTCGCACTATAAAGAAATCAATAAAAAGTATTTAAGAAGAAATTATTGTTGAGACTAAACAAGGTCAAACAAGTAATTTCATATAATTATTGATCAGTTCACTAATATTTATATGAATGATATAGGAAATCAATAGATAATATATTGTTGGTCGAATAGAACAATCAAATTAGTTCTCTTTTTCCATAGATTGATCATTCAACCGACAAGGTAATCTCGACGTTATCAATTATAGTAATTATTGAATACAAAAAGTTTGACATTGATTCAAATTGAAATTACTTTTTTTTTCATCGTAAAATAATGTTTGATAGATAATTATGCTTTTCATTCGATAAAATATAAGTAAAATCTTACACACCGTCGGATACGTACAAGTAAGTCAGTAGTTAAAATAAGTTTAAATGAAATATTCATATGCCATATGTGTAGACGATTTTATTTTTTTATTCTTTGTCGAGGTATACAATATGAATTTTTATCTCATGCTCAAATCACCCATGCACAAATTACTTATGCGTATCTTACGATGCGCAAGATTCGTAGATCCAAATAAATTGTGGATAATGTAAATCTACCAATAAATACATGTCCTTCATCTTTAGTAGAATATTTATGATTGAATGAAGAAAGTCGCTGTTGATCGTTAAGTCACGTTTATCATTCTATTGTTAAACGACGTTATTCACATACATTTTCATGTTCATTGAATAGGTAGAACGAAAAAATATAGACATTTATATATATATAAATCGTCGCTTACATGGATAATATCCTTGATCAAAAGGACGACAGAAGCAACCCAATGAATAGATATATAACTACTATTTTCTTCATTTTTTTGATATTTGATGACATTGAATGAGCGTGTTATTTTTGTGTTTGCAAAATAATATAAAACCTTCCTATCGTCTAATTTCTGATTTCTTACATATATTCTTAATTTTTTAACAGATACATATATACCAACTTAAATATTCAATAAATGGAAATTGGACCACCGAAAAGTCGATGTATAATATGTGATAAAGAAAAACGAGCTGTTCGATGTGAAGGTTGTCTACAATTATTTTGTTATGATCATTTAACAGATCATCGACAAGAATTAAATAAACAATTAGATTATGTCGAACGTACTCGTGATGTTTTTCGACAAACACTTAATGAACAAATGAATCATCCACAAATCGGTTTATTAGTTAAACAAATTGATATATGGGAAGATGATTCAATTAAAACTATTCGAGAAACAGCATCAGAATATCGACAATTATTAGCTAAAAATACATCGAAAAATTCTCAAGAACTTGAAGCTAATCTAGCAGCATTATCTGAACAAATACGAAGAATTCGTCAAGAAAATGATTTTAATGAAGTTGATTTAGCTCATTTTAATCAAAAATTAAAACAATTAGCAGAAAAACTTTTTACTCTATCCAGTGTCTCAATTCCACAAGATCCTACACCACTTATTTATAAACTTTCTATTTCTACAAGTCCTGGTCCCGGTCCAGGTCCTGGTTTTGGTCCTGTTCCTCCTGTTCCTGGTAAGTCCCATAAATATACTTTTCTCAGTCAGATTTTCAGATAATCTATATCGAATTCAATAAGAAAAGCAGAACGTAAAGTTTTTTTCAATGCATCTGACTTCTGTATAACATCATATGATAACTAATCACATCTCAGAAAAATAGTTTATCTATGAAAAAGAATAAATAAAATATTTACGCTTCCAATCTTTTTATATTTAGATATTGAAGAAAAACAAAATATTCATTATATACCAAGTAACATTCTATTTATCTACAAATATTCTAGATTGAAATTCTTTTTTATTTATTAGAACATGTTAGTTGTCCAAACAAAACTCATAACGTTGTTAGATGGAAACAACATGGATCAACTATTGCTGGAAAGCATCATCATGATCAACTCAGTGATCCTCTAGGTCTTTATATTGATTATGATGATCCACCAGTTTATTATGTTGCTGATTATGGAAATCATCGTGTTGTTAGATGGAGAGCTGGTACACATCATATGGAAGTTCTTGCTGGTGGTAATGGTAAAGGAAAACGACTGGATCAATTAAATTATCCAACAGATTTAATTGTTGATAAAATGACTGATTCTATATTCATTTGTGATCAAGGAAATCGACGTGTAATACGTTGGTCTCGTCATTGTAATACAGATCAACAAATAATTCTTGATAATATTGTTTGCTGGGGTTTAGCTATGGATGATAATGGTGATCTTTATGTTTCGGATTATGAAAAAGATGAAGTAAGACGATGGACAAAAGGCGAACCAAATGGAATATTAGTTGCAGGTGGAAATGGAAAAGGAAGTCATCTTAATCAACTCAATTATCCTAGTTATATTTTTGTTGATGATGATCATTCAATTTATGTTTCAGATTCAAATAATAATCGTGTTATGAAATGGCCAAAAGGTGCAAAAGAAGGAATTGTTGTTGCTGGCGGACATGGTCCTGGAAATAGTTTCGCACATTTATGTAATCCTCAAGGAGTGATGGTTGGTCGTTGTGGTCATATCTTTGTAGCTGATTCTCATAATCATAGAGTAGTACGTTGGTCACCAGATTCAGACGTTGGCACTCTTATTGTTGGTGGACATGGACAAGGATCACGATCGAATCAATTTAGTTGTCCAATAGGTTTATCATTTGATCGACTTGGCAGTCTGTGTGTTGTCGATTGGGGTAACAATCGCGTACAAAAATTTGATGTTGAATTTCATTAAAATTGTTTCTTTTTTTTCTTCTTTTATTTGTGATAAAATGACTTTTGACAAAATAATGATATTTATTTGTCAAAGTTTGTGTTTTGCATATTGTAAACGAATAACATATATAAAAATAAATAATTTTATTATTAAAATCTTAGAAATTATTCAAGCAACCGAAACCTTTCGTTTTGTTTTATTTTTATTAAGAATATAAAATGATGATGTGTTTACATAAAACTTAAAAAAAAGAATATTTCGATATTAATCTACTTTTATAATAATAGCAGTCATATTATCAGTAGATTGTAGTTGTAAACAATGATCTAATAAATGTGATACAATATGATCTAAAGCTGTATTTAATGCTTGATGAGCAACAAATTTAGCAACTTCTTCATTACTCATTACATCCCATATTCCATCACAAGCAAGAATGACGAATGCTGCTGTTGAATCTCTTGGATAATGAATAATATCAGGTATAGGTGCTATAATATGTTTATCTATCGCATAATCTCCTAATGCACGAGTCATAGCATATGTATCGTCAACACGTAATACATCATTTGGTGATTGTGTTATATGACCACCAGCTTTACGAATACGTTCTTGTTCTTTGAGTACACTTGGTTTATGATCTATAAATTAGATGTATATAGAAAAATAAATAGATAATTGAAATATACCTTTAGTAGCTGCTAAAACATGTGCATCTTTTGAAATAACAATTCCACGTGAATCTCCAAGATTAATTAGAAAGATTTGTTTTGAACTAATTAAAGTCGCTATCTAAAAAAATATATATTTTATTAATATTTTCTATATAAATATACATACACAAACAGAACCACTTTGATCATGAACTATTTTCCTTAAATTTTTATCCAATAATACTAAAGTGTCTTTAATCATACGTTCGAAATCATGATTATCAATTTTAGTTTCAACATGATGAAAACATTCTAAAAGATATTTATCAAATAGATGAGAAGCATTTTTTGCTGTATCAATGCCATTATGACCATCAAATATAGCAAAATAATTCCAATGTTTAAATGCATGATGATCCAATGGTACTAAATATTTATAAAAATCTTCAGCTGTTCTTCTCCATCCTTGCATTGAACCAATACCAAATAATTTATCACCAAATAATTCCTTTTTTGTATTTGGTTTGTCTAATAAACCATCATTTGTAGCAACAGTAGTAGTAGCAGTAATAGCAGTAGTAGCTTTATCGTTGTGATTGTGAACAGACATTCTACAAAAATAAAAATCGATAAATAATGATAGAGAAAACAAAAACGCACATCTTTTATAATACCCGTGTTACACTCATTGCCCTTATTCTCGTTTATGATAAAAATAGAATCAAACAATTTTTCTAGAAAGTCCGTCAGTAGAATTTAAATTTATATTAATATTTCGCAGCTTTTCTTATATTTTTCTGAAATAGATTGAACACTCTATTGTTGATATAGATAAATTGATAGCTGATTGGTGAATAAAAATATATATATTTGTTTACTTTTATTGAACAATAATTCTTTTTAACCATTTTCATTTTATTCTTGTTTTCGATTTTTTAAATAATTTAAACTTAATCACAAGACTTTACATGTTTTTATGATAATACAATAATATTTTCGTAATCGTATAATTTAATACGTACATAGATATTTGGTATAACAGAATAGGAAAAAAAGCACATTTCTAACAGGCATACATACGTACTATCACACATGACTGAGTTTATTTTTCAGCACCTCTTTAGAATAGTCACATTCTATCACCAATCAATTCTTTTTCCTTTCCTTTCGTCTTTGATAGAGTATGACTATTCTGAAAAAGTACCCCCACTTCTTTCACGACATAGTTCTCTTGTTAACAAATATCAAGATACGTTGCGTCCATCGTTTATTTCTATTATTAGTGACCTACTTCGAATACGTCTATGCTTTCATATGATCAAAATCTCTGAAAAGAAAAATAATTAGTATGTCTTACCTTATAGTTTAAAACTTTTGTATTCCATTACAATTATTTGTAGAGTATGTATATAACCATAAGCATTCATCATCCTAACATTTTTTGTCTCTATACATAAATGACCTTTTGACCGAATAAGAAATTTTTTTTTTGCTCATGTAAATCGTCCAATGTGTTTCATTTTAATACTATATTTAGATACATTTTTTATATTGCACGAAAAAAAATATGATCCAAACCATCTTAAAATCAAGAACATCACATATTTTATCAGTGCAACATATAATTCCATTGATTTCATCTAAAACAATTACTTACAAGAAATCTATTCGACAACGTTTTAACGATGGAATAAATATGAAACAACAAACAGTAGAAATTAATTCTACTGAACGTATTCGTCGATCTATATTTTATAAAGATGCTGATCTTTGGTCATTTTATAAAGAATTTTGTCCTAAAGTAAAAAATCTTGGTGATGCTTTAATTGAAGGTATGGTTCCTTCAAAAGATGGACCATGTATAGGAACTGTTGAATCATCAAATGGTACTGATACATTAAAATGGATGTCTTATTCACAAGTCATTGAACAAACACGTTGTATTGGTTCATATTTATGGAAACAAACGAAATTAACACCATTACAATCTAAAGTAGCTATAATTTCTTCAAATAGCAAAGAATATTTCTTTGTTGAACAAGCATGTTATATGTATGGATTTATTGTTGTTAGTCTTTATACTACTTTTAATACAGCAACTATTATGAATATACTACAAAGAACTCAAGCAGAAGTACTTGTTGTCGATAATTTACAACGTATTGAATCAATTCAAAATGAATTATTAAATAATGATCAAATTAAAGAAATAATAGTTTTGGATGATATGAAATCGAATGAAAATAATAATAAAATTCGATCTCTTTCAACAATTCTAAAAAGTATAAAGACAACAGATATATGTGAACGACCAACAATTCAACCGGATGATATTGCTACATTTATTTTAACTAGTGGAACTACAGGTAAAATTTTACGTTACATATATATGGAAAATCAAATTCTATTGAATGAATTTCTGTTTTTAGGTGATCCAAAAGTTGCAATGTTAACTCATGATAATATTTTGGCAACTGCACGTGGTCATCTTATACGTTTAGAGAAAGCAAATATTGAACATTCTGTTACAAAACGACATTGTTCATTCTTACCTATGGCTCATATATATGAAAGATTCGTCATTTTACAATGTTTATTACATGGTGCACAGATTGTATTTTGTCCAACACCTGAAAAATTACCTAGTTATCTTTTAATAGTAAAACCAACTCAAGCTTGTCTTGTACCTCGTGTATTAAATCGAGTTTATGATGCAACAATGACAGAAGTAAAGAAAAGTAAATTAAAACAATTTCTTGTTAAACAAGCATTACGTGAACAACCATCATTTCTATCCGATATTGTTTTTCGTAAAGTAAGAAAATTATTTGGTAATGAACTTAAAGCAATGATGACAGGATCAGCACCTATTACACCTGATGTATTACATTTTTTTCGTATTGCTTTTAAAATTCCAGTTATGGAAGGTTATGGACAAACAGAATCATCTGGTGCTGGTACAACTACTCATCCAATCGATGTATCATATGGTACTATTGGTTCACCAATACCAACAGTTGAAATAAAACTTATTGATGTACCTGGTACAGACTATCGAAGTGAACAAAATCAGGGTGAAGTTTG